GGATTTGTCTTTCTCTGACTTTGCTTAGCATGATGCTAACTCCATCCACATCATTGCAAACGTCAAGAGTTCATTGTTCTTTATGTCTGAGTAATATTCCATTACATATATACACCATATCTTCTTTATCCATTCATGATTCAATGGACATTTGGGCTCTTTCCATAATTTGGCTATTGTTGATGCAGCAGCTACAAACGGGTCTTAAAATGAAAGGCCGTTGATGCAGGTTTCTGAAACACTCCAACACCATCATCATCATCCCAGCTAACATGTGCTGCATATCCATCCTTCAGCAGGCACCATTAAGTATTTTATGTGAATAATGTTTATATAATCATCACAATAATCTTATGAAATAGGCATAGATATTTTATACAAACTACAGATGAGATATTTTGTACATACTACAGGGAGAATAAATAACTTGCCCAAAGTCACATGGTAAATTGATGAGCTAGAATTCAAACAGTAGTTTGTCTCCAAAGCCAGTGATCTCTATGTTGGGCTATCCTGCTTCCATCATATACAGCCCTGATATGTTCACAGGTGTTTCATATTTTTACCCATTGCCGCTGCCAGGAAAGCCGTAACTCTTCCCCTTCACAACAGTGGATCCACAACTGACTGTAATTTCCCAAACCAAAATCCTGCTTTTTACCTTTCCCAGCATTCATCAAGCAGCAAGAATGCTTGGTCAAGTTTGGGTGGAATAAAAGGAAAATTTGGTTCTCCCACTTTAAGTTCCTATTTGCAATCCTCCAGCCCTTTCTGTTCTGGTATTATGCAGAAAGGAACATAAAATGAGACGCAATGTCTGAAGAGGGGAAGTAAATTTCATTCTGCTCCTTCTGTCCCCGATCCTACATGATCCTAATGCCATCATTCACACTTCTGAAACACTTCCACTATAAATTGTATGTTAAAGAGAAAAGAGAGAAAGAATAAAAAAAGTATATAGTATGGAAAATATAAGGTTTCCCACCTTTACCAGTCAAATTCTCCTAGTCACCACTCATTTATCCCTTATATAAATAAACATTTCTATTGAAATAGATACACACAAAAGTGCATAAATCACAGATGAACACTTTGATGGATTTTCACAAAATGAACACACATTTATAATAGCTACCCACATCAACAAACAGAACATTACCAACATTTGTGGTTTTAACTTGGCATTTTTCTGCTGACTAATAAGGTAGAAGAATACCTTTTCTTGTATTCACTAGTGTCGTTTTTTTTTTCTTATTAATTTGTAAGGTGATTTAAATATTCTGAATAAAATCTTTTATCAGATGTATGTATGGCAAATATTTTCCCTTTATTTGGTTGCTTTGAATAAATACTGCCTTTGATGAACTGGATTTTTTATTTTAATATTTTATTTTTATGTAATTCTAAAAATAATTCTATGTAATCCATAAAATTTTAATGTAATATAATTTGTCAATAATTTTCCTAATGGGTAGTGTATTTTGTGTTCTGCTGAAGAAATCTTTGGCTGCTAATAAGTTATGAAGGTATTCTCTTATGTTATCTTCCAAAAGTTTTCTCTTATATAAATTTGTATCCACAATCCACCTGGAAGGGATTTTGTGTGGTGGTGTAAATTTTATGTTAAGGATCTTTTTTTTTTCTTCCAAATACACAGTTAACCCAGAATTATTATTATTATTTTAATGTTTATTATTTATTTTTGAGAGCGAGAGAGACAGCACAAGCGGGGGAGGGGCAGAGAGAGAGGGGGACACAGAATCCGAAGCAGGCTCCAGGCTCTGAGCTGTCAGCACAAAGACTGACGCAGGGCTTGAACCCATGAACCATGAGATCATGACCTGAGCCAAGGTTGGATGCTTAACCAACTGAGCCACCTAGGCACCCCTAACCCAGAATTACTTATTGAAAAGTTCATCCTTTCTTCATAGCACTGGATCCTAATTGTCCTAAGTCAAGGGTTGGTATAAGTAAGAATCTATTCCTGGATTTTCTATTTTTGTTCCCTTGGGTTGTCTATCCAAGTGCCAATGCCATGCACCTTTTATTAATGTAGCAATGTAAGTCTTCAAACTTTGTTATTCTTCACATTTGTTTCGGCTATTTTTGGCTCTTTACATTCCAATTAATGTTAAATCCTGACTTTTCACCTCGGGAATTTGTATGGGAGTTCATTATACAGATAAATCAGTTTGCAGAAAATTGAAATCTATAAATACTGAATCTTGCAATCCAAAAATTTGGCATAACCTTTCAGGTTTTTTAAAGATTTTTTTAATGTTTATTTTTGAGAGAGAGACAGAGACAGAGCATGACCAGGGGAGGGGTAGAGAGATTGGGAGACATAGAATCTGATGCAGGCTCCAGGCTCTGAGCTGTCAGCACAGAGCCCGATGCAGGGCTTGAACTCATGAACCATGAGATCATGACCTGAGTTGAAGTTGGACGCTTAGCCAGCTGAGCTACCCAAGTGCCCCATAACCTTTTAGGTTTTTAAATTGTTTTATTTCTCATAACATTTTATTGACTTATATATTGATAACGTCACATATTTTGTCATATTTCCTAGGGAATTGATTTTTTGATGCTATTTTAAATGTTTTTTCATTTTATTTTCTAATTAGTGGTACATGTAAATACCTTTAACTTTTTTACATTGTCCTTCTGTACAAAGACTTGCTAAAGTCTCTTACTGATCTTAATAAGTTGTATATGCTTTTGGATTTTTTTATATATTATATAAACTGTGAATTAGTTTTATTTCTTAATTTTCCACTCTTAAAAATTGTCTTTCCCTCCTCCCTCCCTTTGTTCCTTTTTTTCTTTTGTTTTTGCCTTTGCTGTGTTAGTAGGGACCTTCAATATGATGATGAATGTAAGATGTTATAGAGTATACCTTATCTCATTCCCAGTCTCAGGGGGAAAGCTTTAAACACTACAGTATTAGTATAAGGCTTGCTGAAGATATTATTTTATAAATACCCTGTATCATATAAATAAGTTTTCCTCTAACTATAGTTTGCTGAGATATTTTAAGCATGGTGCTTGATTATTTCAAATGTTTGGGTTTTTTTTTTCCCACTCCTATTGAGTTCATTATATGATATTTCCTCTTTAGTCTGTTAACATGGTGAATTATATTAATTTTAGAATATTAAAGCAAATGTGCTTTTTGGAATAAATGCAACTTTGTCATAATATAATATCCTGTTTATGGACATTTGAACTGCTCATATTTTTTTTTTCAGATTGTATATTATGCTGATGAAAGATATTGGCTTGTGAATTTCCGTTCTTATAATAAACTAACCATTTGGTATCAAGATTTAATTGGCCTTAAAAAGTGATTTGAGAACTATTACTTATGCCTTACTTTTGTTTTTGCCTCTTTGGACTAGTTTGTATATAGATGGTTGTTATTTTTCTTAAAATATTTGGGAGAAATCACTATAAGGTTGTCTGGTCCTTACATTTCTTTGATATTGTTGGAAGATTTTAGTCCCATTTCAATTTGTTAAATAGATAAATTTTTAAATAGGATTTTTCAGATATCCTAATTCCTTTTTTGTCTGTTTTGAAAAATAGCTTATTTTCTTGAAATTTTTTTTTGAATTAAGAAAACTTATTTACACAAAGTTGTTTATGTTATCCTCTTATCTCTTATAATAAAATCTGTAAGAGAAACTCATTTTTCTGTTTCTGATGTTAGTAATTAGTTCCTTCTAGATATACAATACATATACTTTTTATATGCTTTATACTATATGTACAATTTCAAATGTTCAGTGCTGTTTTGGCCTTGTGTCCTGTGACTTTTCTATACTCATTAATTCTAATAATTTTTTGTCATTTCTTTGACATTTTCTATATAGACAGTCATGCTATCTATGAACAAAGATAATTTTATTTCTTCCTTTTCAGTCTGTATATCTTTATTTCATTTTCTTATCTTATTACAGAGCTAAGATTTACACTATGATGTTCAATAGGAGTGATGAGAAAAGGCACCCATCTTTGTCTTATTCCTGATCCAAGGGTGAAGGGATCTAGGTCTCACCAATAAGTATGATGCTAGTTTTTCTATAAATGTTCTTCATCAAATTGAAGAGGTTCCCTCTATTTCCAGTTTGGTGAGGGTATTTATCATGAATCAGAGTTAGATTTTGTCAAATGCTTTTTCTGCAACAATTGATGTAATCATATGATCTTTCTTCTTAAGCCTTTTGGTGTAATGGATTATACTGATTCATTTTTGAATATTTAATCATCCTTGCATAACTAAAATAAATGTCATTTATCATGGTATATAATTCATTTTATATATTGTTGCATTCAGTTTTCTAGTATTTTTCTGGGTATTTTGGCATCCATGTTCATGACAGGTATTGATATGTAGCTTTCCTTGTAATGTCTTTATCTAGTATTAGCATTGGGTAAATGTTGGCCTCATGGAATGATTTAAGAAATATTCACTCTCCTATATTCTTGAAAAGATTGTGGAGAACTGGTATTATTTTTTCCTTAAATGTTTATTATAATTCACCAGTGAAATAATCTAGGACATGTGCTCTTTTTTGAAAGGTAATTATCTATTCAATTTATTTAATAGACCTAAAAATACTCATTTGTTTCTCCTTGTGTGGGTTTTGGTAGTGTGTATCTTTCAAGAAATTCATTTATTTCATTAAGTTATTAAATTTGTATGCATAGAATTGTTCATAGTATTCCTTTATTATCCTTTTATCATCTATGAGACCAGTGGCAATGACTTCATTTTCATTTCTAATATTAATACTGTGTATCTTCTTCTTCCCCCACCTCACTGTCCTCACTTGGTTAGCCTGGCTAGAGTTTTATCAGTTTTATTAATCTTTTCAAAGAATCAGATTTGGGGCTTATTGCCTTTATCTAATTTTTTTTTATATATACAAGTTTCTGTTTTTATTTTTATTGCTTCTTTTCTTCTACTTTCCTTAGGCTAAATTTCTCTGTTTCTCTAGTTTTCTAAGGTGGAAGCTTATGTTATTGACTTCAGACTATTCTGATTTTCTGATACATGCATTTCATGCTACAGATTCCCCTGTAAACATGCTTTCACTACATCCCACAAATTTGGTAAGTTCTATTTTTGTTTCAAAATATTTTTAATGCCTCTAGAGACTTCTTCTATGACCCATTTATTACTTAGAAGTATGTTTATTTAATCTCAAAATATTCAATGTTTTATATTATTGATTTATCATTTAATTTTGTCATCTGAGAATATACTTTGTATGATTTTTATTCTTTTAAATTTATTAAGATGTATTTCATGGCTTAGAATGTGGTCTATCTTAATGATGTTCCATGTGTGCTTGACAAAAATGTGTATTATGCTCTTGTTGAATGGAGTATTCTATAATGTCAGCTAGATCAAGTTGACTGATAGTGCTGTTCAGATCAACATCATCCTCACTGATTTTCTGCCTGTGGGATCTATCAATTACTGAAAGAGGGGTGTTGAAGTATTCAACTATAATAGTGAATTTATCTATTTCTCCTTCCAGTTCTATTTGTTTTCCCTCATGTATTTTGATGCTTTGTTCTTCAATGCATTCACAAGATTGTTACATCTTGCCAGAGATTGATCCTTTTATCGTTATGTAGTGCTCCTCATTATCCATTATAATTATTCCTGTGCTGAGATCTGCTTTGTTTCAAATTAATAGAAACTTCAACTTTCTTTTGATTAGTGTTAGCATGATATATATGATACTTTATCCCTTCACTTTTAACTTATATGAGTTCTTATATATAAAGTGTGTTTCTAGTAATAACATATAGATGAATTTCCATGTTTTTAAAATACATTTTGACAATCTCTGTCTTTTAATTGGTGTTCTTAGACCATTCACATTTAAAGTAATATTGATATACTGGATAAATATTTGTCATGATTGTAACCATTTATTATTAGTTCATTCTTTTTTTATTTTTTCCTCTTCTTTTCTGCTTTTTCTTATCTTACTTGAGCATTTTATATGATTCCATTTTCTCTCTGCTATTATAATATCTACTACGCTTCTTTTAGAATTTTTGAGTGGTTGTCATAGAGTTCATAACCAATTGCAATTGGTTTTTAGCCAACTTCAAATAGCATTGCACGGCTTCCAGTATAGTGCAATAATTTGCAAAAGAGTACTACCAATTGTTCCCTATCATTCTTGTGACATTGCTAGCCAGTCATTTCATTTATTCATAGGCTTGAATTGCCTAATATATTGTTATATTATTATTCTTTCCTTAACAAATATTTTTGTAAATCAATTGAAACTAAAACATTATTTTATCTTTATTTATTCCTTCTCTGACATTCATCCTTTCTTTATGTAGAGTTGAGATTCTTGTCTATATCATTTTCCTTCTCCTGAAGAACATTTTTAAACACATCTTCCAGTACATGTCAATTCCCTGTTTCCCATATAATATGAGGTACGTACTACTCTTCTATCAGAAATGAATTCCTCCAGTTTTTATTTCTCTGGAAATGTTATTTTACCTTTAATTTTGGATAATAATTTTACTGGATATAGAATTTTAGTTTTTTTTTCTTTCAATACTTAAATTTTTTCACTCTAATCTCTTCTTGCTTGCGTGGTTTCTGAAGAGATTTGCTATATTTCTTATCCTTGTTCCTTTATAGAAAATGTCCCCCAATCCCCCAACTTCTTTCAAGATTTTTTCTTTTTTAAAAATAATATTTTAGGGGCGCCTGGGTGGCGCAGTCGGTTAAGCGTCCGACTTCAGCCAGGTCATGATCTCGCGGTCCGTGAGTTCGAGCCCCGCGTCGGGCTCTGGGCTGATGGCTCAGAGCCTGGAGCCTGTTTCTGATTCTGTGTCTCCCTCTCTCTCTGCCCCTCCCCCGTTCATGCTCTGTCTCTCTCTGTCCCAAAAATAAATAAACGTTGAAAAAAAAAAAAAATTTAAAAAAAAAAAAAAAAAAAAAAAATAATAATATTTTATGTAGAACCATTCATGTTTCTACAAATGTTATTTTTAAATCCCAAATATTTTGGCACTTTTTGCTGATACACCTTACATTATTTATAATATGAAGTAAGCACTATTTTTACTGCCATATTACAGACATTCAAAGAGGCATTGAGTTAGCAAGTGATTTGGTAGTCTTTAGATCCAATGTTCTTAATTACTAGGCCATACTGGCTCTTACCAGTAGCATAATCTCTCTACTACAACAGTCGAGTAACAGTAAATGCTGAATGACCAGTCTTATTAAATAAAGCTCTTTCCTTTCACTGTACTGCCTTCTTCTCTCCTGGGTTTCAGCTTTGAGCTCCTTCTCCATTCTTCTCCTTGAAGCAAGTAAGAAATCAATGCTGACTAGCATGTAATTACCACCAACAATGTCTTACTTATTACATAGGTTACATGTCTAAAAACAAAAATAATATACATTTTCTTATCTTCTTGTAACAAAATTGTAATTATAATTACTACTCTGGTAACATTAATAATGTTAAGTTCAATACATGTAATGTTGCTCCAGTATGTTAACATGGAAGATTTCCCATTTAAAGAATATTCAAGTCTCATTTATCCATGAAAGAACTTACACAATAAAAATACTACTTGTTATGTATGCCTATAATTAATGACCCAATATCCTACTGTCCGATGAATAAATGAAAAAATGGCATGAAAATCCAACAAGTTTTCCAAAGAGATCCATCAGTAATACATAATTTACATTTGTTAATGTTTTCCATGATTAATGTGAATTTGTAGTTGTAACATTTGTTTTTATATATGAGGTCATCATCCTCCATGCTGGAATCTTTAGTTCTGATCTGGAATATTGCATGTTCTCCCCTCCTAGAAGTTCTCAGGCTTCAGAAACCTTCTTTAAGATGTTTCTCTATAGAAATAATATCTTTCTTCCTATAAAATACAAAGTATGTTCTTTCCTTTTAAATAAGTTTAGCTGATTATCATGGTAGCTTTTTATGAATCTTGATTTCAAGTTTATTCCAATGAAGTTCATGTTTGAGTAAGGGGCATCCAGAACATATTCCTTCTTCCCAATCCATGTGTATTAATATTGCATCTAACTGTTTTATTTAGCTAAATGCTTAGCTAAATTTGTTAGTTTGGGTATTTGTTTTTACAATTAACACTATGTGGCACAAGAACAGACACTTAGATAAATGGAATAGAATAGAGAACCCAGAAATGGACCCACAAATGTATGGGCAACTAATCTGTGACAAAGCAGGAAAGAATATCCAATGGAATAAAGACAGTCTCTTCAGCAAGTGGTGCTGGGAAATAGCAACATGCAGAAGAAAGAACCTGGACCAATTTCTTACACCATACACAAAAATAAACTCAAAGTGGATGAAAGACCTCAATGTAAGACAGGAAGCCATCAAAATCCTCGAGGAGAAAGCAGCAAAAACCTCTTTGATCTTGCCCGCAGCAATTTCTTGCTCAACACGTCTCCAGAGGCAAGAGAAACAAAAGCAAAAATGAACTACTGGGACCTCATCAAAATAAAAAGCTTCTGCACAGCAAAGGAAACAATCAGCAAAACTAAAAGGCAACCAACAGAATGGGAGAAGATATTTGCAAATGACATATCAGATAAAGGGTTAGTATCCAAAATCTACAAAGAACTTATCAAACTCAACACCCAAAAAACATAAACCAGTGAAGAAATGGGCGAAAGACATGAATAGACACCTCATCCAGATGGCCAACCGACACATGAAAAAATGCTTACCGTCACTCATCATCAGGGAAATACAAATCAAAACCACACTGAGATACCACCTTACACCTG